GTCACCAGGGCTCCTTCTTCCAAGGTTGCTGTTGTTATTGTTAAATGCCGCTGAGTCGATTCCAACCCACAGTGACCCTATATAGGGTTTCCAAGGAGCAGCTCGTGAGCTTGAACCACCAACGTTTAGTTCAAATAACTTTGCAGTCTGATGCATTAGCCCACATGCCACACCTTCCAAGGTTGTTGTTGTTGTTAGTTGCTTTGAGTCAGTACTGACCCATCGCGACCTTATGCACAGCAGAACGAAACACTGCCCAATCCTGGGCCAACCTCACTACTGTTGCTACGCTTGAGTCCATCGATGCTGCCACTTGGCCAATCCAGCTCATTGGGGGTCTTCCTCTTTTTCTCTGACCCTCCACCTTACCAAACATGATATCCTTCTCCAGCTAGTACACTTAAATTTGAAAGCCATTGGTTTAGGGTTAGGACAGTAAGGAGAAACAAGAGTAAGATGGAAATATTGAAACACTAATAAATCCAGGGTGATCAATCCATCAATCAGAAGAGTGGTCAGTAAACCAGCCACATAAAAGCATCAAAGGATTCCTGTCTTCCTTCACTAGTAGTTAACTCATTATCAGAAAACTGATGAGGAAATGCAGCTTTGACCGTCAGGATGGCAAACAAATGGAAAATTCTGAAAGATTTTTAAAGAATCAAAATGTTTCCCCACAACTGTGTATGTAACAAATGAGCCATTTCGTCAACACTTTGTGGTTAATAATCCGAGCAGGTTTTCATCAGTCAGTTATGTCTGTCTTTCTGTTAGATTTTGCCCATCTGATTTCCTTCATTACACTAACCATCTCACAAGCATCTGGCTTTCCTTCTTACCCTTAGGTGTTCTTTTAATCATCTAGCTGTTTATTGCTGTCAGTTGCCATCAAGTCAACTGGATTCCAACTCCTGGTGACCCAATGTGTGCAGAGCAGAACTGCTCCAGAACATTTTCAAGGATTTGGGAAGCAGATCACCAGACCTGCCTTCCAAGATGACTCTGGGTGGATCGAATTGCTAGCTGTTTGCCCAGCAGTTAAGTACTTAACTGATTGCACTTACAGTGACTTAATGCCTTCTGAAGTAGAAGAATATGATGGACTGGTTTAACGCTTAAATTCCTAGTAACATACTGCACCGCACTGTCCATCTAGGTAACCACACCACACGCCTTGGCAGCCATCTTGAAAACAAGGCAGGGCTCACCAGGGAGAACACTGAGCAAACTGAACATTCCCATCACTATCGCTACAAACAGTTCAGGGAGAAATCCGAAAGGTGTGGCTTGTAGCTTCATTTTCAAATACAAGAACAGTGTTTTAAAGCTACTTTAATAAGCTACAGCCACTTTTTAATAAAAATTGATGTAATTAGTATGATCTCGGGACAAGGAAATGGGAGGGGGGAAAACTGAGGAAGGAAAATCCCCATTTCTTCCAGATACATGTTACTTACTCTATGAACAAATAAAAACAACACTTCTTATTGCCCAAATAAATTTTATCCAAGATACTCAAAATATATATTGAAACATTAAATAAAAGCAATCTAACATTACAAACAAAGATGATACAAAAGCTCGTATACTCAACATGTCAAATCATGTTACTTCAAACAGTCTGCCATAACTATTAAGGTGTTGTTGTTGTTACGTGCCATCGAGTTGGTTTCAACTCATAGAAACCCTATGTTGGGTTTCTGAGACTTTTTTCAAGAACAGAAAGCCTCATCTTTCTCCTGCAGAGCAGTGGGTAGGCTTGAACCATTATCCAGTGCTTATCATATGGAGACAATGATCATTTATTCCACATGCCTTATAAAAAATTGCTTTGTGAAGTCTTTGAAATTAGCCTAGATTAATATTTAGCTACAAAATGAAAAATCTCTAGATCCACTAATCCCTTCAGCCATCAAGGAAAAGCAATCCACCAGTGATATAATCACCCTCCAGAACACCCTGTGTACCTATTGTTGTGGTTAGTTGCTGTCACGTCCACTGCAACTTACAGCAACCTTATTACAATAGAATAAAACACCACCCAGAATGGCATCACCCTCACAATCTTGGGTATGTTTGAACTTATTGTTGCAATTATTGTGCCAATCCATTTCATTGAGGACTTCCCTTTTTTGACCCTCTACTTTATCAGGAGTCCTGGGGTGTGACACTGTAGGATAAACACTGGACTGCTAACTGCAAGACTAGCAGTTCAAACCCATCAGCTGCAACTTGGAAACCTTACACAGGGTTTGCTATGAGTTGGAACCAACTCAACGGCACTTAAACAACAAACAACTACTGTATCAAACATGATGCCTTTTTGTAGCAATTAGTCTTTGCTGATAATATGTTCAAAGTGATCAAGCCAACGTTGAACCACCCTTGCTTCTAATGTGCATCCTCTTGGCTGCACATCCTCCAAGACAGATTTTGTTCTTCACCAACACCGTAATTGAAGTTTCAAGAAGACACTGAAGTGTCTTCTTCAGCCTTCCTTTGACATTGTCCAGCTTTTTTATGCATATGAGACAACTGAAAATATGACAACTTGGGTCACGAGCTCTTTAGTCAACAAAGTGATATCCTTGCTTCTTAAGATTTTAAATAGATGTTTTGGGAGTAGGTTTACTCAAGGCAATACATTGTTTGATTTCTTGATTGCTACTTCTATTAGTATTCGTTGTTGACCAAGTAAAATGAAATTCCTGAAAACTGTAATCTCTTTTTACTTATCTTGATGCTTGTGGCCCAGTTGTGAGGCTTTTCATTTTCTTTACACTCAGGTGTAATTTAGGCTTCTACCTTCATTGGTCAGTGCTTCAAGTTGTCTTCACTTTTGGCAAGCTAGGTTATGTTATCTGGATATCACAAGTTGTTAATGAGTCTACCTCCAATCCCACAATGCCACCTTCTTAGATTATTTGCTCAGCATGCAGACTGAGTAAGTAAGGTCAAGGATATAACACTGCTTTCCCAATTTCAAGCCAAACTGTATCCCCTTGTTCCGTGTGAGCAACTATTTCTCCCCATCGGCACAATCAAGTGTTCTGGAATTCCTATTCTTTGTAGTGCTATCCATAATTTGTTAAGATTCACACAGTTGAATGCCTTTGCACAGGTAAACATCTTTCTGGTAATTTCTGCTTTCAGTCAAGATCCATCTGTTTTAGCAAGGATATTTCTCATTCCAGGTCCTCTTTTGAGAATTACTTGAATTCCTGACAGTTTCCTGTCGCTATATGACTGTGGCTATTTTTAATATTACCACCAGTAAAATTTTGCTAGTATGTGATATTAAAAGACATTTTTCAGTAATCTTTGTATTTCATTTGATTATCTGTCTTGGAATGGGCACAAATATGGATCTCTTGCAGTTGGTTGGCCAGATAGCTGTCTTCCAAATTTCTCGACATAGATGAGAAAGCACTGCAGTGTTGCATTCATTTGTTGAAGCATTTTAATTAGTATTCCATCAAGTCCAGGAGCCTCGTGTTTTCACCAATGCCTTCAGTGCAGCTTGAACTCCTTCCTTCAGTGCCAGCAGTTCTTCATCATATGCAACTTCTTGAAATGACTGAACATAGAACCATTCTTTCTGTGCAGTGACTCTGCATAGTCCATCCATCTTCTTTTGGCGCTTCCTGTGTCATTCCATTGTTTGCCCATAGAATCCTTCAGTAATGCAACTCAAAGTTTTCTCTTCATTCTTTCAACTTGAGAAATGCCAATCCTGTTCTTTCCCTTTGGTTTTCTAACTCCAACTCTATGCACATTTCATTATATTACTTTGCACCTTATTTTCTTGAGACACTCTTTAGCACCTCTTGTCAGGTTTTATGTCATTGTTTTTTCTATTCACTTTAGCTATTGGCATATCCATTAATGGTCTGTTCCTTCTTTCCAGTCTTTTTAATGACCTTTTACTTTCTGAATCCACTAACCCCTTCAGTTATCAAGGAAAACAAAAATCATACTAACAATACACCAGCAATATCAATCATACTCCAGAACACTGCCATGCACTTTTGTTATTGTTAAGTGCCACTGAGTCAGTTCCAACTCATAGCGACCCTGTGTAGAGTTTCCAAGGAGTGGTTTGGGAGTTTGAACCACAGACCTTGTGGGTCAGTGCTTATCCTACAGCGCCACACCAGGACTCTAACATGGATTTAGATATACTTAAAATAGTCCCAAACCTTGCAAAGCTTATAGATTGAGCAGAAACCCTGTAAAATGTAGGACAGAGGCCTCAGAGGTGGTCATCTCATACCCATTTCTTTCACTGGTGTGATACTGTAGGAAAAGCATTGGATAGCAGGTCATTTGAATTGCAAGGTCAACGATTCAAACTCACCAGCTGCTCTTAAGAAACCCTATACATGGTTGCTATGAACTGACTCAATGGCACTTAAAACAACAAATCTTCAATGCTGACAGCCTTTTCTCGTCAGCTAAAGAGTCCAGGGAGTCCAGGTGTGGTGCTGTGGGTTAATGCGCTGGACTGCAGGGTCAGTTTGAACTGCAAGGTCAGTGATTCAAGCTCACCAGCCACTCCTCAGAAACCCTATACAGGGTCACTATGAGTCAGAAACGACTAGATGGCATTTAACTACATCAATAAGCCCCTAGGAGTGCTATTGTGGCACTGCAGAACTATGTGCTGGACCTCAAGTCGGTTTGAGCTGCAAGGTCGGTGGTTCAAACCCACAAGCTGCTTCTTGAAAACCTTATACAGGGTAGCTATGAGTTGAAACCAACTCAATGGCACTTAACAACAACCACAATAGGTACAGAGTTTCTTTTGGAGGTGATAAAATGATCTAAAATTGTGGTGATGACTACAGAATTCTATGAATATATCAAACCCCAGGAAATTAACATTTTCAATGGGCAACTTGCATGCCATATGATTTAGATCTCAATGAAGCAATTATAAAATAGCAATAACCTAGAAGCCAAGGCCCGGATCCCAACCCCCACAAGCTGCTGTTACTCACTTTGAAGTCTTCATGGAATCATCTGCCCAGCCTCCCTGCCGACGGGGTGGCTTAGGGGGAGGCGCCTACAGAGAAAAGCCAAAATAACACACACAATTAATGTTTGCCTTCAAACTGAGGTTAAGGTCAAACAAATCTATGTTCAGATAAAAATCTTTTAAGTGAAGATCCAGAAACCTGTCTAATAGACTGAAGCAATACATGTGCTTTTATGTCCTTTTGGTAGATACATCAACATTTCTGTGGTCACCTGACAATGTGGATGAACAGCTGAAACTGCTCATACTGTTTTAAGCCCGCAATTACAGTCTCAGGAATTTACCCCCAAGGAGATCATCAGAAAGGAGCAGGTTATTTTTGAATCATGAATAATCAGAAATAACCTAAATGACCAACAATAAGGACTTCAGTAAATCCTCTACAACCCCACCCACTGGGCAAGAATCAAGACCAGCTGCTATACACTGGAGCAACACCAGCCAAAAGCACCCTAAACTAAATGGCACAGAGAATGGTGCACAAGCTCATCTCCTGATCAGCCCCACCAAGAGGCAATTGGCGAGTACCTAATAAAAGTACACCAACATACAATCATCAACTTACTACAAATACAACATCACAATGTCATGAAAGCAGCAGACAATTTCTGTTTACAAGAAGAAACAAGGCAGAGTGGTTCCAACAAGAGACCAAGAGGCAGAGCTAGGAAACATTTTTTGAGGGAAAAAAACGCATTGGAATTACCTGAAATAGAATTAAAGAAAACGATATTTAGGTACATCCAAACGATTCACAGAAAGGTCAAGGAAAACACGTAAGTATTCAGGAAAGTACTATAGGAACAATCAAACAAAAACATATAAAGAATTAGAAACGATACAAAAACTGAAATCTAGATGATGAATACCAAGATTTTAGAAATGGACAAGACATTGAAAGGCAAAGGAGTATATGCAAATCAATGGAAGCCCAGATTAGTGAGCTTGAAGATAAAGCTCTCAATATTAGTAAACTAGAAGAACAATCAGAAAAAATTATGCAAAAATCTGGAGAAAGCCTAAGATTCACATGGGCCACCACGAAGAGGAGTACCTTACAGGTGACTGGAATTCCAGAACAGGAAGAAAAAAGAAAAGCACAGGAAAAATAGTGAAAGAGCTGTTGGAAGATATTGTCCCTAACATCATGAAAGAAAAGAAGATAACCATTCAAGAAGCAGAATGAACACCAAGCAGGACATACTTCAAGAGAAAAATCACCAAAACATAAAATAATAAATTTCCAAAATCAAAGACAAGGAAAGACTCTTGAGCAGTTCAGGAAAAACAAAGTTACCTAACAAAGGAAAGTCAGAAGATTAAGCTCTGATTTCTCAGGAGAAACCATGCAAGCAAGAAGGTAATGGGAGATCTATACAAAACTCTGAAGGAAAAATATTGCCAACCAAGAATCATATGCCCACAAAGTTTTCCCTCAAATACAATGGCAAAATTAGAACATTTCCAGATAAACAAAAATTAAAAGTAATTTTTTAAAAACCAGACCAACTTTACAAAAACTACTAAAGGGAGTCCTTTGGTCTGGGAACTAACAACAGCAGACAACAACTGGAGACTGGTATACACACCACCACCACCCAGAATTCAATGCAGATATAGAAGTATCCAAAGCAAAACACAGACAGTAAAATGACTGTAATCAATTCATACCTATTGTCAAGTACACTAAACATCAATGGATTAAGTGCACCAGTCAAAAGACAGAGAGCAGTAGAATGGACAAGAAACCACGATGTTTTAATGTGCTGTCTACAAGAGACACAACCAACACACTCTGGAAAACAGCATGGCACTTCCTCAGAAAGTTGGAAATAGAAATACAGAATGACCCAGCAATCCCTCTACTTAGTATATATCCACAAGAAATAAGAGCCATAACACAAATAGATATATGCACACCAAGGTTCAGTGCTGTACTATTCACAACAGCAAAAAGATGGAGACAACTTAAATGCTCATCAATGCAAGAATGGATACACGAACTTTGGTGCATACACACAACGGAATACTATGCAACGATGCAGTATGATGATAAATCTGCAAAACACCTCATAACATGCATGAATCTGGAGGACATTATGCTGACTGAAATAAGTCAATCACGAAAAGACATATACTATATGAGATCACTATCGTAAAAATTCAAGAAAAGGTTTTCATACTATGAGAAACACTCTTTGATGACTACCAGGTGTAGGAAAGAAAGAGTAATTCACTGGCTAAGGGTAGACACATGTTAACTTGGGTAAGGGAAAGGACAATCTGCAAGTAGGGGAAGGACAATATGCAAGAAGAGGGAGACTGGCAGAAGAATGAAGACAGGTGAAGGCACAAGGGCTCAACGGGATAGAGGTAAATAGTTATACATACACAACCTTGCAACAACAGTGTTCTGTGTGTACATACATGGACAGAGACACAGGCTAAATGGGTATGGGAGGAAGAATGGGATAGATATTTATTCATATATCCCACAAACACATGACAGTTTGACAGAGGCTATCTGTACATGAGTAGCCACAGGGAGGAAGCGGGACAAGGGATGTTGCATGGAGGAGATTGCGATCATTGAGATGAAACAAAGTGTTATGATTTGTTGAACGTAAAACTGATGATCTTGTCTGTAAACCTTCACTCAATTGACAATAAAAAGTTAAAAAATATGCAAATAATAAAAATTTATTACAAAAATAACGATATGAGAAAGTTCAATATATGTTCATTTTTTTAAAGTATGTTGCAAAGCACTAGGTATACGTTTCTGATTTTGTTTGAAGATTATTAATACACAAGTTGTCGTTAGCAGCCACCTAGTTAGTTTCGACTCATGGCAACCTCATGCACAAAGAGCATAAAGTGCTGCCTAGTCCTCTGTCTCTGCCATAGTTAGGTGCGGATCTGACAATGCTCCATTGTGATCCACAGGTTTTCCATTGGCTGATTTTCAGAAATAGAACACAAGACCTTTCTCCCATAATCAGTAATCCTCATATTAGTGTTCATTTTCTATACGTACATGAGGTGAAGGGACTCTAGTGATGAAATTGTGGACAATCTTCAGCTTCCTTTTTTCTACTACTGTACAGTTTCCTGTTTATTTTTAACAATCAAATTATATGGCCATCCTTAATAACCAGAAAATAAAGATGTTAAAAGGTGGCTCATGTAGAAGGCAAACTAAACTGGTGTGTTAAAAATAGGAAGCATTCATCTGTAATACATTCATTCAGAAATCCAAGTGTATAAACTCTCATGCAGCATTTGGCAACTCAAAACCCCATGGGACTATCAACTCATCCACTGAACCCCCGTCACTGTGTTGATTAGCAGAGTATTGCCTATTTTGAATTATTCAGCATTTGCCTAATACTGATTTTGAAAGTGTCTACGTATTTTCTTTTCTAAGACTTGATACAATTACAACCACTGTTTTTAGTCTAAGGTGGTGGTGGTTATATGCAGTAGATTGGTTCCAACTCATAGGGGCCCTGTCTCAGCTTTCCAAGGCTATAGATCTTTACGGAAGTCATAAGCCTCAACTTTATCCCTTGGGGCAGCTGGTAATTTTGAATGCTGACCTGGTGGTTAGCAGCCTGACTATGCTATCAGAGCTCCTTGTTGTTGTTAAGTGCTGCAGAGTCAGTTCTAACTCAAAGCGACCCCGTATAAGGATTCCACGGAGCGACTGGTGGACTTGTGGTTAGCAGACCAGTGGTTATCCTAAAGCGTCACACCAGGGCTCCTTAGGTACTCTGATAAATGGACCAAAACAGGAATTAGCAAAGTTTTTGTATAAAGGGAAAGCTAGTAAATATTTTCGGTTTTATGGGTCATACAGTCTGTTACCAGTCCTCACAGCAGGTACTACAAAATAAATGACCATAAATCATAAACAAACACAGTCATGTGCCTTATGATGTCCATTTGGGAAACGTCTACCCAACTATACCATAGTTCCAACCTGTGTTGTTCTTGTTAAGTACCGTCAAGTCGGCTTTGACTCACAGTGACCCTATATACCATTTCCAAGACTTTTTCAATCTTTGCCGGAACAGAAAGCCTTATCTTTCTCCCAAGGAGCAGCTGGTAGAATTAAACTGCCATCGTTGTGATTTGTAGTCCAGTGCTTACCATATGGAGCCACCAAACTCTCTGTAAAGCCTATGATATTAAAAATCTGAGATACGTACAATGGCTCATAATGACAGGAGCTACTTTACAACCTGCATCAAAACATGTTTGTTAGTATTATTGATTATTGCATGCTCTAGTGTATCTGGAAGTATTTCTTTTTGTACATAGAAAGGTGCACTATATATACTAAGACAAACAATTGACTGTCTGACATTAGACATTAGGCATGAACTGTACCTAATTGTTTCAACCTGATGCAGCATTGTAGGATCAACATGAGACTGCCAACCGCCACTCCTCAGAAACCCTATACAGAGTCACTGAAAGTCAGCACTGACTCGGCAGCACACAACAACAACATACAAATTCAACATAAAGATAGACGTGGGCAGAGGTAAATAATGATGTATGCACAACCTTGGAACAACAGGGTTCTGGGATACAGAGATTGAGCCATGGTTGGAATGGGGAAAAGGGGGGAATAATGCTAAGGGGGGAAGGAGCTCTGGTAGCATAGTGGTTACGAATCGGGCTGTGAACCGCAAGGTCAGCAGTTCGAAACTACCAGCTGCTCTGCGGGAGACAGATGAGGCTTTCTGCTCCCATACAGATTTACAGCCTCGGAAACCCTGTTCAGGGTCGCTATGGGTCAGAACCGACTTGACGACACTTAACAACAACAATGTTAAGATGCTTGGCTGTCTTTTTTTTTTTTAATGTTTTATTGTGAATTATATGGTAGTTTACATGGGAGAACGTTAGTTTTACATTCATTCTATCGTATTATCTTTTCATTGTCATGGTTATAATCCCCTCTATGCATCATCAACCTACCAAAGGGTATACTCTGCAAGCCTGCCCCTTATACTCGC